GTGCTTGTATTTCAGTGGGTTGTTAGAACCTTTCCAGAAAAGCTGAAGACAACTGCATTAGAAGGTGTTGATCTAAAGTACTCATTGTACGACAACCAGGTAGAGCTCAGATATGATCAAAACTAAAATATATATGAATCAACATCTTCTAGCAGTCCCTGGCCCCAGGGACATCGGACTAGCCTCGGCCAGGGTGGAATGAGCTCCCATACGAGATCAGGGCCCTGCGGGATCGATTACAGTTCTGCAGGGCCTGCAAAATGCAGCTCTTCCACCAGGCCTTTGGTTGAGGCGATGGACATCCCTTTCCTCTCCATCTCCCCTCCAGCAGCCTGGATCTTAACATCGGTACTACTGGATTGACATCGGTGGCCTGGATCTTAATATCAGTATTGCTGATCAGAACTAGCTTGTTGCTCAGTATTTTATTGTTTTACTGTTTTATTTTAAGTATTGTTTCAATGGTATTTTATTGAGACTGTTGTGAACTGCCCTGAGCCCGCCTGTGGGGAGGGCAGTATATAAATCAAACAAACAAATTAGCAAAAAAGTAAAGACGGCAAACCAGCAGCTGTAATAAAATCAAAGTAAAAATCTCAAGGCATTAAGTTTATTCAGTTCAGCTGCTGAATTTCAGAGGATAGCTGTGTTGGTCTCTAATAGAACAGCTAAACTAAAGTCCAGTGGCACTGAGAGACCAAAGATTTGGAGGGTATATGTTTTTGAGAGTCTTGAAAGCTTATACTCATTCTCTAAGGTGCTACTGGACCCAAATTTAGCTGTTCTATTAGCTCAGCTACACAGCACGTGATTTGCTTGCACATGATTCCAATTCCACCCTTTCCGGTTTCGGGATCTATCCTGGGGGAAATTATGAGAGTTTCTTAGGTTGATTCATATGATGATCTGGAGGGCTGTAGCCATTCACACTTGGTTAAGAGTGATCCCTCTGATTTTACACTTGGTGAGATGTCCTGGGCAGAACAATGGAGCTTTGCTGAAGTGGATTTACCAAAACCACCAGACTGAGCATTGCATTGCAACTTGTGCAGTCAGTCTTAGGGTGCCTTGAAGACCAGCAGAGGTGTGTGCATAACAAAACGGATTGTGACAGCCTGGCCAATCCATCTGCTAATCAAGTCAGGGCAAGCCTATGTACAGTTCTGGTCACTGTATCTCAAAAAGGACATTGCAAATAATTAAAGAATTACAGTTGTTGAAGGAACAACTGAATGAAACTTTGAACCAAGAACTCTATTGGAATTTAAAGAAGTTACAGCAAAAATCTTTTGAAGGGGCAAACAAACCGGGAAAATACTTAGCTTGGCAACTTAAAGCTAGAAGAGAAAGAAGAATGATAACCAAAATAATAGAAGATGGAAAGGAATTCGTTGATCCTAATGGAATAAAGAGAAGTTTCTTCAAGTATTATGCTAAATTATTTCAAGCAACTAAAGCTGATCTTGAGAAGATTAAAACATATTTAGAGGAGATTCCACTATCGAAAATAAGCAGTGAATTTAAGGATTTATTAAATGGTCCGATTCAAAAAGAAGAAGTGATGAAGGCAATTGAAGAGATGAAGTTGGGGAAGGCGCCAGGGCCGGATGGCTTTACTGCAAAGTTTTATAAAAAAGTGAAAGAGGAGGTTGTCCCGGCCATGGAAGCTTTATCCAACGAAATAAGAGAGACTAAAAAGGTGCCGGATTCATGGAAAGAAGCTATTATTTCTTTGACACCAAAGGAGGGACAAGACTTAACTAATGTAAAGAACTACAGGCCAATATCTCTTTTGAACAATGATTATAAAATCTTTGCAAAAATTGCAGAAAGGGTGAAAAACTATCTACAAACAGTGATATCAGAAGACCAAGCTGGTTTTTTACCAAAAAGGCAGATCAGAGATAATGTAAGAATAGTAATGGATGCAATTGAATATTATGAAAAACACCCAGAAAAAGAAGTAGCTTTTCTGTTTGTTGATGCAGAGAAGGCATTTGACAATCTTAATTGGAACTTTATGCTTCAGATGATGGAGAAAATAGAGACGGGACAACAGTTTAGGAATTGTATTGAAGCTATCTACTC